CGAACATAGTGTGGTTGAAATACTATTCTATATGCTCTATTAATTCTTGAAAATCCCTAAGGGACTAATAAATAATGCAGTGTTAAAAATACAATAGGCCTTATACTAATGTCGTATGACAAGTATAATTAATTATAATCATGCTTCCGCAGCTTGAAAAAGATGTTCACATTTTTACAATTATATAAATGGTTATCCGATCACTTGTGTTTGTTGTGTCCTAATCGTCCAGTGGAAAACAAAAAATTAAGGCTTCATAGGATATGGCAAGTAACCCAAAGAAAATTTTGTAGGTTCCTCTTTTTAGAACGATTAAAACAACTTCAAGTTTTAGTTCGTTTAACCCGAAAAAGAAACAAAAACAATAAAAAAATCAAGAAAGATGTAAACGAGATTAGATGCGCAAAAATTATGCCCGTGTTCTTCACGACGCAGAAAAACTGACAAAGTCAACAACCTCATCTATTAGTTGCTTACAAAAAAAAAAAGAAAAAAAAAGAAAGAAAAAAACTCAAGCACAGAAGAAGGATTATCGTTATATTTCATGGTAATGTTAGTTACATATGTGCATATCTAATTACTTTTCATAGCATATAACTTTACATTTTTTGCATACGTGGAAGTGCGCAGGCTTGCATATTAAATATGTATATTGTATTCATATTCTATGCAAACACATGCTGAACTTTGAAGGAAGCACACACACTCATTCAATATATATATATGTATTCAGTTTGTGGGCGTTAATATTTTTCTAACATACTGTTTTCTTTAGAAGTTTAGTCTTTGTTGACATAGAATACTACTAAAAAAAGAGTTTTAATTTGGGTTATAATTTAAATAAAATATTTATTAAAAGTAAACAGAATGAGTTAAAAGGGGGGACGCCCCCATGGTAGATCTTAGGCCTATTTTATTTATGTGCATCGAGTTTTAGTGTTATAAATCCTCAAGCCTACCCCTTACTGTTTTCTTTAGAAGTTTAGTCTTTGTTGACATAGGATACTACTAAAAGAAGAGTTTTAATTTGGGTTG